TGATATCTAACGACTTTACCGACGTATTAAAATGTGAATGTAGATGTAGATGTAAAATTATCACCCTTAGCCGTAAAATCCATCACTCCATTGAGACCCTCATTTTTTGATTTTAAGAAATTACGCAACGAGTTTACCATTAAAATAAAATTTGCACGGTCATTCTTTATGACAATAAATGGTTTTCATTATTCGATGAATTTCCTTTTTTTGTTCTTTTTATTACCCAAGAACCCAGTATATGACTTGCAAACTATCAACAAATCTTTTTTCACTCATAGTACGTATACGTAAACCGTGGTCAAAATGTGTTTGCAGTAATACTATTCTGGCCCTAGCTGTTCGAAGGTTGAATATCGATAAGCAATGGATAAATCTCTATCTAGTGCATAGGGTAGTACGTTTTGCAATCACTTCAACCGCTCATTAAAGGTTTGACTATGCTCGTCTTTGGCGAAAAAAAAAAAGCAAATAACGAAAAAAAAAAAAAAAGAAACAGAACAGATAACTGACTTCCTTGGACTTTTAGAGAATAATTTTCAAAGTGAAAAAAAAAGCATTTATTAATAGAATAAAACAAAAAAAACTTAGTCTTCCAATGATCAAAAACAATTACTAAACAAGACTAGCATTGCAAGACATTTTGTTACGTCAGTGACTCGCAAACCAATCATTTGATCCAGTGGTTTTGATCTGCTAGCTAATTTACAAAACACGATATTCTTTCTACTTGATGAAATATTTTTTTCTTATCTGTTGGCTACAGACTGCATGAAGCCACTGTTGAGGAGCGAGGACTTCGACCCCGGACGACAAATCCAAGTTTCCTCTGAACATTATCTTTTTGGAGACCGTCGCCGAGTTGTAAATGAGAGTGTCCCTTGGTGCGTTAAGGACAAAACCTTGAAGGAATGGGTCCAAGTAGACCTGGGTAAGATTACTGCTCATATTGATAGCTGAATGATACACGCATTCTGATTGGTTCTTGCTTATGGTATAAGAGGACAGACGCCTAGTTGACGTCATAATTAACAAAATTTTGCTTTCTTATCACAAAACACACTAAGCCAGTCATTTAATCAAGGTCTAACCCAAACCGCAGCATGGGCCTCAGTTATTGTCGGCCTTATTGACGCTGTTCACAAAAATAAATGTTCAGATAAAAGGCTCGACTAAAATGAATATAGTTTAAGACACGGTTTTGTTACACAACGGCTAACTTTGTTTGAATAA